TCTTTAACGTTTTGTCTCTCGGTGTTGTCTTTAACGTTTTGTCTCTCTGTGTTGCAGTTGGACAAACAGCAGGAGAAGGAGCAGGAGGAAAACCTGAAAGCTCCGGAGTTTGTCAAAGTGAAGGAAAATCTGAGACGGACGTCGTTTCATAGTAAAGAAGAGAAGGAGGTGTAGAGACAACTGCTGTCCTGCAGGACAAAGCAAACTAAGAAGGAGACCGTCCACATGTTCACAGGACAGTCTGAGGACACAAGCATACTGAGGACAGTCTGAGGACACAAGCATACTGAAGACACACTGAGGACTCAAACATACTGAGGACACACTTAGGACACTCTGAGGACACAAGCATACTGAAGATACACTGAGGACTCAAACATACTGAGGACACACTTAGGACACTCTGAGGACACAAGCATACTGAAGACACACTGAGGACTCAAGCATACTGAAGACACACTGAGGACTCAAACATATTGAAGACACACTGAGGACTCAAACATACTGAGGACACACTTAGGACACTCTGAGGACACAAGCATACTGAGGACACTCTGGGGACACACTTAGGACACAGACATACTGAGGACACAGCGAGGACACTCTTGGAATACACTGAGGTCATAAACACTGAAGACAATCTGAAGACATGAACATACTGAGGAAGCTCTGAAGACACTCTGAGAACCCTTTGAGAAAGGACTGAGGACAATCTGAGGACACAACCATACTGAGGACACTTTGGAGACACACTGAGGACACATTAATGACACTTTGAGGACACATTAACGACACTCTTGGGATACTCTGAGGTCATAAACACACAGAGGACACACCGTGGACACTCCGGGGACACACTGTCCAGATGCTGGACAGAACAGCTGTGATGTCTCTCAGGAGACTCGAGACCAACAAGAAGCGGCAGATCAGAGTAAACACACCTGAGACCGTGTTTGACACACTGTTCATGATGGGATGGATTACCTGACTCGCCACACCTGGTGGACGACTGTTCAGCATCTTTCTGCTCAGAAGGAAGGACTAAGTTATCAGTTCCTGTTTCCTGGCGTGTCACAGAAAGACGTTTGGGAAACGGGAAATGTTTTCTCATAATTACAAGACAAGATCTTGTAAATGAGGAAATCTTCTTTTTGTCAATCAAATTAATTTTAAAGATATATAGAAGTCACAACTACGGTGTACAGAAGTCACAACTACGGTGTACAGAAGTCATAACTCCAATATGCAGAAGTCATAATTATAAGAAACAGAAGTCATAAATACGAGACTCGAAATTATAAGATACAAGTTTTTCTCGTTATTATGAGATGTAGTTACGTCTTATTCCAAGAAAACATTTAATTAATACGAGATTCAAGTCTAATAACTAATACCTTTTCTTGTGATGACGAAATTCTGACGAGATTAATTTATTACGAGACATTTAAAAAATGCAATAAATGTTTTTTTTATTGCATTTTATCTCGTGATTACAAAGTGAGAATTTAATTTAATTATGATGATAGAAGTCAAGTCAGATCTCAGAATCTCACTTTCTCTGTTAAAATACAACAAATTGAGTTAAAATGAATACGTCACACAGAAGAAAGTAAATAAATAAATAGTGGGAAAAATATTATGAATTTCTTTCTGTGTACGTAATAAAAACCAAAAAAGACTTATTATTGGTTATAAAAATGATGGAAGCAGATTTTCATAAAAGTGAAATAATAATTTGTAATTTGTAATTCACCATTAGACACATAGTTACGTTTAATTATCTTTTCTTCAGATGCTAACTCATGATTATCAGACACAGAGGTCGTAATTATGAACACAGATATAATTAAATATCATTATTACAGGAAATATTAGTTTGAATAAATGCTAAATAATTATAATTATGGTATACAGAAGTCGAATTACAAGAAAACAATCTGATAATTATGTGATTTGTATCTCGCTTAGTTATAACTATATATGACATGGAAGCAATCATTTTGAGTGTTGTCCTTATTACAATGTCCTTATTATATAATTATGAATAGTTATATGTATATTTATTTATTTTACAACAAAATTCTATAAAACAAAATAAATTACATCATAATTTGGAGATTTGTTTCTGTTATCACCAGATAAAAAGTCAGAATTTTAAGATTTAGATTGGTTATTTTTTTATTTTTTTGCCACATTCCCCAAACAACAACAACAACAACAACAACAACAACAACACACGATCTCGTATTGTTCTAATCACAGAAACTCTTCTATAATATCTATAATTACGAGAACGTCTCCAAAAAGTGCCGCTTCGTTTTGATCGTCAGGATGTAGAAATAATAAACTGTGTGTCAAAGAAAACGTCCGTTGGAACAAATTGTGCCTAAATCTCATCTCCGTGTTCGTGGACGAGAGAGATTGTTCACGATTAAAACGTCCGTCATGAATATGTGAAAGGAAACTTCTGTTTTATATCATTTGTATCCCGTTTGAATTATTGAGATTTACTGTACAGCGGCTGTACTGGAGAGAGAATATAGTACACATAATACACAGAAGTGATAATAATACTCACAAAATATTTCTCTCTTTCAATTAAAACATGCAAATCTTTTACTTTATGGAAGTCGTAACAACGTGACAATATCTTTCATATCACATTATTACAAGATACAGAACTTTGCTTTCCTTGTAATTTTGAGATGCTGATTACATTTAATTTTGTTATAAATTACCTCGAGATATTTTACTTTTAATTGTGACACGACTGCGATTAATGATGACAAGAGAACGTCTTATAATGAGACGTCTTGTTGTAAATACGAGATAATTATGTCTTCGGCTGCACCGTATCTATATTGTTTTTACCCCCATGACCTCCTCTCACAGATCACATTAAAGTGTAACTGAAGCCTTACATCTGGACGTTTTTTAAAACAATTGTTGATAGTGAATATTGTACAATCATTGAAATCATTTTTAATGTCTTGATTATAGAGCACTTTAGACTTTTAACTGTATAAACGAAGAGTCAAATCTAAAACAGACTTATTTTTATTTTTGACTTTTTTGCGGCTTGTAAAGGGACGTTCTGTTCTGATTAACATGTTCAGATAAAAGTAGAAGCTGCAGCAGAAATGTGTTTGTTGACATGAAGACAATAAATGACAGAAATGCTGCTGTTTTGGTGCTTTATTCTCCTGGAGAGACTCTCTCAGTATGAACACCATGCTGCTCGGATGTTCATAAGTGTTCATAACCTGCAATATCACGAACAAAGTTTTATTTTATCAGTATTTGTTGCATCACATCTGAACGTTAGACACAGAGTTACCAGCAGTGGTATACAGGTTCAATAAAATTACAAAAAAACATTATAAAAAGCAATACATAGAAAAACATATATGTATAAAAAATGAAAGACAATGAGTATTTTATCAAATACTACACTATAAACAAGCCACTTGTTGACATAATCTTAACACAAGATAAGATAATCTATTCAATGTAGGATAATTAAAGCAAAAAATATTCACTTTAACACAAGGAACTTTCATTTTGTGTTGATTCTGGCGCCCCCTGTGGACTAAAGTAGTAGTGTTTCTGAGCGTCAGAGTCCCTCTCATTTTACTGCAGCGGGTCTGACAGGCTGCCCCTCTCAGTCCTGGTTCTGGCTCTCCCGTCTCTGCTGGAGGATCTGGGTCTGTCTACGGTGGACCGGTCTCTGCTGGAGGATCTGGGTCTGTCCACGGTGGACCGGTCTCTGCTGGAGGCCCCGCTGGAGTCTGAGCTGAAGGAGTTTCTGGTGAACCTGCAGGATTTGTGTGTAAAGTGTGTTCAGATAGTCACAAATAAAGTGAGGGGAGAACAAAACGTTGTTCAACGGTTCAACCAGACTGAAAGAGACAAAGATCCGTCTGAACAGTTGAATAAGAGAATTAATCTCCATCAAAGGTAAAAGAAACTGGAAGCAGATTTAAATAAGATGAGATAGAACTTTATTAATCCTGAAGGGAATTCTTGTGCCAGAGTTTCATGAAAGATGACAACATAACAAAAAACAATAGAAATATAAACATATGAACAATAGAAATACAATTATTAACTGTAAGAGGAATAGTACTGACACCGTTGCAAAGTAGAACACAATAGTAATAAGAGTAAAGTAAATTAATAAAATCTTCTTCTTTAAAACCTCCACCACAGACTCGTGTACGACTCCAAGAACAGAACCAGTTTCCTGTTTCAGTGTCACGTGTTTTCACAATAAAGCAGCAAACAAGCTGGAATCAACAGAGTTTTACAATAGAAGAATAAAGTTAGTTTAATGTTAGAACTGTTGGAATATCAGCTGAACAAATCACAGTTTGAACCTCTTCAGACTGCAGAGGACCCCGAAGACTAAATCAATATTTAGGGCCCAGTTGTGGTTCAATGATGACCGACAGGACAGAAAAACAAATCCAAGTTCTGTCACGTAAATAATTGATTTGGTGTCTGAATTATACTATTTTATTTTTTCTGTTTGAATATTTATTGAAGGAAAGAAGAGAAACATCAATATAGCGTTAGGTTACACACTTTAAACCGTAGTTTATGGTTTAAATGTTAAGGAAACCTCACATTTTAGTTGATTTGTTTTGTTTCTTCTTCTTCTATGGTGGTGAAGTGTTCGCTGACCTCGGGGCTCCTCTGTGTGATGAAGGTTTTGTCCACCAGGTGTCGCTGTTTCTCCTCTTTTCTCTCTGGACTGAAGCTCCATCAAGTCAGACAGAATGAGTCTGAGTGTCACCGGAAGTTCTTTCACTTTATTTTGACATTTTAAAAAAAGAAATCACATTTTTGCTTAAATAATTACTAATTCTGCCTTTTAATTAATAGTGAGTACAGGACTCTGATCACATGACAGTTGTACGTACGAAGTTAATGTGATATATTATTTAAATTGTAGCCTTTTGAGTTTTGAAAAGTGTATTTCTTTCTTTCATTATTTTGTACATTTTATTGACTTTTAATTTATTAAATCTGTCTTGAAATTCAACTATAAAAATGTCAACTTTAATTTTCTACTTTGGTCTAATTCAGTTTAATTAAGCTTCAGTTATGACGCTCACTTGTTATTCTTTAGATCTGATATTTTACATTGATGAAATTATATATATATATATATATAAAATATATCCATCTTTGGTGTGATCCGGTTAATGAGGTTAGTTAATAATAATATGGGGCACATTTCAATCTACACATAAATAATAAATAATAAATAGAAAATAATGAATAGAAAATAATGAATAATGAATAATAAATAATAATAATATATGTATATATATATTTATATACATACACAAACAAAAATAAATTTAATAAAAAAGGGTGGGGGCGAGAGCAGAGAAAAACAAATATTTTGAAAATGTACCGGAAGTGTCCCGTGTTGTTAACAGGGTGTTGGTGTGTAACTTGACGCCGCTGCGTTCGGAGCAGCTGCTGAAGAGAGGCTGACGCACAGCCGATCAGCTCGCTACAGACCGGGGGTTCAGTGGAGACATCGGAACCTCGTACAGTGTTTAACCCGTAAACAGAGGCTCACACAGCGGGGCCGGTGATCCGGTTCTACCGGCTGAATGTGTTGGAACAACCGGCTGTTAATCTGGATACACCGACAGCGACTCCACACTTAAAGGGGGCTTGATGGAATTGTATTCATTTTTTTGCCAGGAAAGTAAACAGCTTTAAAATGGCAACCACCGCCCGCTCCTCGCGACCGTAGCGCGAGACTCAGGTAAGGGTTTTCCCCCCACACCTGGGGACGAAGCTAGCGTACGTTAGCTGTGATTTTAAGTCACAATCTGACGCATGTCTCTTGCCATAGGGACTGCGTTTCTTTTGTAAAGAAAGGTCAGAAAACCAAATCTCATTTAAAAAACCGACAATTAAAAACAATCCCGCTTCTTTGTGGGGCTTTGGTCGTTTTCCGAACACGACTTTGGGCTTTTTGCAAGTCTTCATGACCTACAGGTGAATTCGGCGCACACATAATGCATGTTATTGCTCTATATTGTGGTTTAAACATTCAGAAGTTGGTCCGGGTTTGTTCACCACCGCCCTCCGTGGCAGTCTGCGGGTGGAGAAGGCCACGTTTAAATACTCGGTTCTTTGAATGGAGTCTGGTTGGAGGCGATGCAGCTGCTGCAGCTGTCACAGAGATGCTCGGACACACACAAGTAAAATAAGGCTCAACGACACACAACAATCGGTCATAACAAGTGCAATGACGTATCGGTTGTTGTTATGACGTCATATACACCTGTCTTAACCCCGCCCCCCCAGGACAGGTGGATTTTCTCTCCCTGCTGTCCTTCAGGTGTTATAGGGAGACACTTAAAGAATGAGATGAGTTCGTTTTTAAAGATTAAAAAACCTTAATGGAGGAAAACATGCTTCAAAACGTTGTTGTGGTGACGTCATCGCAAGGGGGCGTGGTAATAAATACGCCAATAAATCACTGACAGGCGTTTAACAATAACATTAAAATCAGGTTGTCTGTCACTTCCTGTTTGAGGCGTCACCATCACAGGTGTGTCGTCACAAAGTGTTTCTATTGGTTCTGAGCGTCCCACACTGGAAGGTGGAGAGAAAAGTCAGACAGACAGACAGACAGACAGGTGAACAGACAGACAGACGCTGTGTCTGTGATCACCTCACCGTGTTTTAATGCAGCTGAATTCACCAAAGCTCAGAGAGAGACAGAGAGACAGACAGGTTTTGTGTCTCTAGATCGAGCTGTGTGAAGTGTTTAAGCTGCATTCTCTCTACTGACCACCAGGGGGGGACTCCTCTGGTTGTATAGAAGTCTATGAGAAAATGCCTCTACTTCTCTCTTGATTTATTACCTCAGTAAACATTGTAAACATGAGTTTATGGTCTCAATCTCTAGTTTCAAGTCTTCTTCAATACAGCATGATGTTCATTTAGTACATTATGGTCCATTTAGAGTCAAACAGACCATAAAGCAGGGGATGCTTTAGGGCGGGGCTACACAGTGATTGACAGGTCTCTACCAGAGACTTATACAGCGTCTCTACGTCACTCCTCAGTCCAGATATGGTCACTTCCTGTTTACTGGTTGCAAAAAGCCAAGATGACGACGGCCTGGTCGTTGTGAGTCGGACAGTTACAGGAGTCGCATTATGAATTTGTTGAAAGGCTGTTTTAAATATTACAGTCTGTTTTAGATGTGTGAAGATGTGAGAACAGCTGGATCATTATGTAAATCTGTTTATGAATAAATTAATAAATAGATCGGAAATAAAAGTGATCATTGAACTGCTGCTCTCCCACTGGCCGCACACGCTGACGAGTTATATTTATTGATACAAGTTGATTTAAAAAAAACTAATTCCTTTAATCCGATGAATCACTTTATTTTGTTTTTTTCCGATGACATCAAAAAAATATGATGCCAATCTGAAGCTTCCTTTAGACATTTGAGGTGCAGCCCCACGGACCAGTGGAAGTGGGACACAGCTGGTTTGTGGTGTCTATATCGGGGGGGGGGGCGCTACATAATGACATCCCTCCCCC